ATGTATGTATGTATGTGTAGGTATGCATGTACCTGTAGGTCGTACATGTGTGTACGTGTGCATGCGCGTGGGCATGTTTGTACGCATCTGCGTATGCATTGATAATAGCTCACGCAATACAACAGCCCGGAACAACCAACGTGATGCAACCCTAGACTCCCCAACCTTCCCCCGCCCCTCCCCAAACCTTGAACAATCTGGGACCACCTGCAAGTGCTCTGGAATTTGAGCGAAAGGCGGGACCCAGGAGGCCACCAAAGTTCATCATGGACTCCACTTGGAAGCCTTCTTGCGTGGGCTGGGTGACAGGGAATAGGGCAGAAAGGAGAGGCCACGGCTTAGGTCAGAATCTGGTCGACTCCAGGTCCGGCCGGCACATGCAACCCTTCCTCCGGTTCCGGGAACGACCCCATCATGGACATGCACATGTGCCGGGTCGGTAGGATTGAAGTTACGAAATTATGCACCAGTGGCAGAGAGAGAGAGAGAGAGAGAGACAGAGAGACAGAGAGAGATAGAGAGAGCGCGAGAGAGACAGACCGAGATGGTGATGGTGATGATGATGACGATGACGATGATGACGGAAAAGCTGACGGTAGACGCTGCTGCATTGCGCTGAGCCTGCGAGCTATAGTCTGAAGTCCGGCGAGTGACTTGCAGGAGCAGCAGGGGCAGGATTAGTCGCCATCGTCGTCGGCGTACCACGAATAATTACTGGTAACTGATAGTAGCAGTCATAGTAATATTAAAGGGCTAATCATCAGTAGTTGTCGTCCTGGTCGTCGCCTTCGAAGCAGCAGTAGTGGCAGCTGAAGCGCTGGAAGATGGTAGTCGACGTAGCAGCAACAATAGTGGCCTGTGTTAGGCAGGACGAAAGTGGAGCAGAAGCCGTCGCAGGCAGTAGCCGTTACATTCGAGCATCAACAGCAGCAAACTGTGAGGAGACCTCGTCTTTGTACTGTGAGCTTTGACTTGAACCATGAGCTACCGGTCAGCTTAAAGATGAGCAGCCTTCCACCGTCGAGCCCAGATCTGCCACCTGCTGAGGATCAATTCGCCAACAACGGAAAAATATGTATACTGCACCTGCTGGACCAGCTGAGTGTCTAAGCGTCTAAGATACATGTGTAAATCTTCTCCTCCTAAGATGATCGTTTGGCAGAATATCGCTCCGTCCATGAGGCTTTGAATGCACCTCTGCATCGACAGCATTTGTGTAGCTGGACAGTCGCCACACCAGGCCTCGCAAGTCATTGTCTGTGTGAACCTGCTGTTGATGCTTCCGGGCAATCCAACCGCAACCAGACAATGGCGACACTGGCCAAACATGCGTGATCGCCGTGAAAAGAGACTGCGGCCCCTGCGGCTTCAACGGTCTGCCAATCACATCGCTTAGACCCAGCACTGTGTAGCGCTACAGTGGACAGAGGCATGTGGACACGTGTCAGTGAGACATCCAACTGCTTCACACTACATGAAATGCATGCATGCATATCAACATACATGCATTGCTTGGCAATGATGCACTAGTTTACTACTACCTGAACAAGTGTTCACACCTTAGGGTTCGCACAGACACAGACATGCACATACATGCAAAGAACAGTCGCAGGCATTCATGTACCCCACTTGCATGTTCTCGCTCTTTCCCTCGCCGTCACTTTGCCACTCTCCCCTGCTACCTCCCAGCTCCGGCACCAGGGGATTCCGGGCTGCCAAGGCCATGACATAGGGCCCCGCCGAGACCTACCAAAAGGCTGAAAGGCCGGGTTCGGGATTTCTTAAAGGAGAAGGAGGCAGCTAAAACTTTTGACATTGGAGCCTCGCCAGTCACCACTCGGAGGGTGACCTGCGGAAAAATAGCTGACTGAGGCATTTGCAAGACGGCTTTAGGTTCTGGCTTTTGGGGGCCCTAGATTCGCACAGTTCGTGAGCTCGATGGCCTGTGGCCGTTGCGTCGTGGCTGGGACAACAGCGCTGCAGAGTAGAGCAGCACTGGTTGCAGCCAAGTCCTGGAAGCTAACATGGGACTGCAATGGACTGCAAGCAGGCACTCTAGCCGAACCGCGACCGACACCTACAGACCTCATTAACATTAATCCCCCGAAATCGGTTCAAGGAAGCCTTGTTATTATATGAAGCCTCACCGCCGGGGCGCTCGGGCCGCCGAAACGTGGGGCAAAACACAGAGATACCCTCCTTCCAATGATATCTTTTGCGAACCGAGCGAACCGCGAACCGAGCCGATGAACCGAACCGCGCCTTGTGAAACCGAAACCGAAACCGAACCGATTGCTTATACTGCATTGTGTTGAGTCCAGATCTTTAGAGCTAGCCGCTCCGTGTCTTGAGGCCTTAAGTGGCTGCTAGGCCTGCACAGGCCCCCGGCCCGGAACCCCTGGAACCCCTGGAACCTGGTACGGAAGTTCCACGGCCGCAACCTGCAGAGCGCAGCTCTCCTGGAGGCAGGAAATATCCACTGCTCGGGGTGACCCCGTCTCTCTGCTTCTGCTGACACCTCCACCGCGAAGCCGGCGGGCGAATCCAGAAGTAAGCTGCCACCAACCGGTAGAGCGGTTATGGACTGGAACTGGATGATCAGAACATTCCTGAGTCGGACAGCGCTGGAGCCCAGATTCGAAGAACTTCGAATTGGCCCAGTGGCTGCTGTCCCGCCAGGGAGGTGCGGAAGTAGTCCACGTGAAAGTTCACCAAGGCCCTGACCTGGCCGCTCCACGGCCACAGCGGGCCGAAAGCTGAAACCCACTGCCGCAAAGCCAGCAAAAAGATTGGAAACTGTGCCATGGCCCATGCTCGGAGGCTATGTACCGCCACTGGTGGTTTAGTCACTCTATGGCATTTACTTGTCACCAGGCCTGTGGTGCGGGGGCGCTGGCTGCAGCCCGGCGCCCCGCTGCAGTGGTGGCATCGTAGCCGAACTCCAACAGGAAGACGTTGCCTGAGAGGGTGATTCTAGGCTTGAGCCTCTCAGTCACCCTCCAAGAAATTCTACCACCTTCACGAACCAGGGAGGCTGTCTGGAGACCTGGTGGACCGCTGCGGCAACCCATACATTCTGCCAGAGGACTGGAGGCGAGGGGTGTGCCATCCGGCACGCGGATCCTGCCAGTTCTTCTGGAGCAAGTTTTCAGAAGTCTTTGCAAGCTTTCAGAATTCAATCACAAAGTTCACAGAGCTTTTAGCATTGCTTAGCGGCTTAGCGAGCATGCAAGGGAAGCACACAGAGCGCCGGAAAGGAACGACAAATGACAAGGGAAAACATGGCTACTACTAGGAAGCTCAACCTCTGAGAATAGCCTCAACCGCCCTACCCAAGGATCACCAAGGAAACGTCTCGACTCCTTCGTGCGTCTACACTGCAGGGTACTCCATGGCATTTGCAGGTGCCGGGCTTGCTAGGAAACAAGGCCTGTCAAACATCTCATCTCCTGTCTTCTCGCTGTCCAAAAACATAAAAACACTTGCGGCAAACTGGTATGTTGCTATCGTAGGTCTTGCTAACGAATCATCGCCTTTCCGTTGGTTCACTCCCCGCGTTTTCCTCAGGCAGAAGGATATTCAACACAAGCAAACAAAACATAACTTATCTGCACACATTGATTCGAAAGTTTGCTATGACAGGGTCGCTAGAGTGAAACGCTGTGAAAGCATTGGAGTACATCTGTGTAGATGAGGGTTATGGTGAAACAACCCGCGTCGATGAAAACTATAGTCTACACATGGTACCTAGAAACCTCACACTCCTGCCCTGTCGATGAAATACTACAGGTCGTGTTGGGTGCTGACATTACCTCCCATGAGGCACCTGGCCACCAAGCCGTACGTCTGCGTGCGATCCCAGTTTCCTGCCATGCCGAGGCTCTTTCGGGAAGAAACTCTCAGTCAAAGACCGAAATCCGTCAAGCTGCAGCCGATCGGGCTATAGTTGTGGATCCCACGCTCCATGAGAAAACCCCTGCAAAAAGACGAGATATCTTTTTGGATCCGAAAATCCTTGGAAGTTGTCGACCACCGCCAGGATGGCCAAAGGCTCCGTTGAGGGAGCGGCGGGTGCTGTTTCCAGTGGCAAATCGGCTGTGACGCCCAGTATGTCCTGCTCTCCACTCCGAGGGCTCCACTCGATATTACTCTCTCTAAGATAGTCAGGGCGGTCCGACAATAAAAGGGCCTTTCCTGCCCTTGTCTGTGCCGGTTCAACTTGAGTCCCATCCGCATTAGCTGCGCTCCTGCCGCCGATACAAGAACTCTGCCGGCCGGAAGTCCTTGCCGAAAGACAATGCAGTATGCAGCGTGCTTTGTGGCGATTCCGATGCTGAACTAGACGATGTTATGCTGGCGGTACGGCTACTTTGATGCAGAGGAGACAGTTGCGGCTAGTTGGGCTCCAGATTCGGGTTCTCTGAGATGCTAAACTGACAATTGGCTGGCAGAGCCAAGCCTCAAGATGCGTAAAATCCTCTGAACCGGAGCCACATAGTTAGTGGCGGGAAGCAGGCTACTCGGAGGTCTTCCAAGACTTTGCAACGCACTCGAAGGAGGACATCCCGAGCCGAGCCGAACCAGTTGCTCGTATGGACGGCACATAGCTTCGATTTGCCAGTTGCACCCAAAACGATGGATTCCAATAATATTGCCGGCCATGCCAATCAGGCCTATGCACCTGAATCTCAGTGGTAGACTACTGTGTCTGTCTGCCTGTCTATCTATACAGTCTATACATGCCAGACATACATGCCTGGACACATAAGTACATACGCACTGTCACACACTCGTAAACATATATATATATAGATATGTGTATATATATATATGTATATATGTATATGTATATAGGTATA